GGCTTCTGGGAAAATCCTCAAAACTCAGAGCTTGTCATAATGGTGGTGAGAACTTGGAAAGCACATGAAACAAAAACAACAATAAAAGGAGAAAGGTAGAATGCAATTGCAATCAGCTCTTCTGTGTGCTTTGCAAAACTCTTTGATTCTTTGGCAAGCAGTTTTTAAAAAATGAGGTGCAGCTTACAAAATTTAAGCAAATATAAACTTTACCTGGAGTTAGCTAGAGTTGCTAGTCTCTGTGACACTCTTTTTTGGAAGCAAGGAAATTAGCGAGCCCAGTGACAATGAAAGACAGTTTTTCTCAATTTATCTGCTTTTTGTTACCATGAGAGTTATAGATACTTGACAATGAATTTTGTCTCAAATACCAATAGACTCCATCACTGCTACAGCTGGGCGATCGAAAGTTATCATATAAGAGTTAAATTAGAATATTAATATAATGGATTATTATCTATAGTCATATTTTCTTATTTTACATTATGACATGAAAAATAACTAGAAGCCAGGTGTAGTGGCTCAAACCTGTAATCTTTGATACTTGGGAGGCAGAGGTTAGGGGATTTAGGTTTGAGGCCAGCCAGAGCAAAAAAAAAAAAAAAAAAAAAGTTTGAAAGACTCCAACTCAACCAACGGCTGAGTGGTCTGTGCTTCCCATCCCCAGCAACACAGAGAAGCACAAGTAGGAGAATCTCAGCCTAGGCCAGCTCAGGAATAAAGTGAGCCACTATATTTCCAAATAAACTAATGTGAAAGATAAGATAAACTGGGGGCTGGGGGCTCGTACCTGTAATGCTAGTTACTCTGGAGGCTGAGACCTGAGGATCATGGCTCAAAGACAGTCCAGTCCATGAGACTTATCTCCAGTTAATTACCCCCAAAAATGGAGCTGTAGCTCAAGTAGTTGAGCACTATCCTTGAGCAAAAAAGCTCATGGACAGCACTCAGGTTCTGAGTTCCAGCCCTAGGACCAGCACACACACACACACACACACACACACACACACACACACACACACACACACACACACACACACACACACACACACAAAGATAAAATAGAGTAACATTTGAACAATAACTAGGGAAGTCGATTTGGCCTTTTAGCAGACAAATGTGATACACACTCGATCGGTAGGCATTGCTGGTCATATTAGAAATCCTATTTCCACACCTCATTAGCTTTTCACAAACACTGGACTATTACTCCCATGATG